CCTGCCACAACGCCCAGCCATTTTTTGGTTGCAGCCTCATTGTTGTTTTTTGGCAGGCCCAGGCTGGGGATTGGAACCCACCACCTTAAGTGTACGTGGCTGGCGCCTTAGCCTCTTGAGCCACAGGCGCCGAGCCTTTATTGAGTTTTTAAAGTAAGAAGCATTAGTATGTAAGAATACGTAGTTTCTTTTATAGAATATTGATTGTATTCTGTTTATAAATGTTCTGTTTTAACTTGGAAAGAATAAGAAAAGGAAAAAAAGTTAGGTGGCTGCAGGATTTCAGGGCCCATAGAAGGACTGCTTGGTAGTCATAAAATAACCAGGCGGAAAGAGGGGCAGCAATTCATCAGCATAAGTGGTCATTAGCCATTAGCAAGGACCGGCAGTCAGCAGAGTGTGTAAGATGATGAACTAGTCAAATGGCCACAGAAGAAAGCCAAGTATTCCAACTGAACGGCTCATCTCCTAGGAGATAAAATCTCTTCATGGCCCAACTAAGTATGATATTAATAAAGAACACATAAGTTTTTAATAGTGCTAAAGACCAGGTCAATATATCGCAATGATAAGGAGTCCTGACATTGAATCACCTTGGGAGAAGCTGCCTAGTCCCATAACCCAACCAAGAATCAAAATGGTGTGAACCCTAAGAAAAATTAAAGTGAGTAAAACAATGGCCTCAGATTTAAAAATATATCAGAAACAATAAAAAAAGAAATTACATATTAAATATTGAATGTTTTAGAATAGACTTAAGTATAAATGTTTATTAAATTTATCATTATGTAACTTACTTTGTATATGTCTTGTTAGCCGTGTAAGGCGGATGTCTGAAGTAGCCAAAAGGAATTAGCCATCCTAAACTTGCTTTGGAATTTAAATAGCTTCAGGGAATTTAGTCAAGCAAATGTATAATCATTGTTTATTTAATACTCAAGAAAAACTAGTTTTGAAAGTCTTGCTGAATTAGACAAACATAACTGACACCTCGAGCCCCAGCCATATCTTCTGGGCACTGTCTGTCCTGACAGGCCACTTGTGACTCCCTACCTGAAGGCTTCCTCTGCTACCAGAGTCTGCCAGAATTGTCACACACCCAGGAGCAGACGTCAGCCAGGCGTTGATGGTAACTAGTGGATAACGCCCTGACTCTCTGGCCTCTTGGTAAGGATTATTCAAAGGCCAGTTCCACAGCATCCCCAGAGACCCCAGTGCCAGTGAGCCTCAGCTGCCCTCAGGGGTGAACTCCTCAGTAAGGTTCTGCTACTGGCTTTTTTCTCTACCCTGTTGAATTTCCCCACTTCCCTACCAGGGCTTCCTGAGATCCCTCCCAGGTAAACCTGGGACATATCTGAGGGTCTAAGATAAGGAATGAGTTTGATAAATCAAGTATTGAACAAAGCACAAACACGTGTGAGGCTTCTCTCTACACACAGTACTGCCTTGGGCATTTAATCTCCCCACTAGGACAAAGCTTGCTTGAGCAGCATGGGGCAGAGGTGGCCACTGTCTTGGGAACCTTCTGCCTCTCTCGTCAGCATCTCTTTCCTCTTTCCTAGAACTACCCTCTGCCTGGACACATGGACTTTCCCCAGGATGCTCATTTTCAGACTCTCACTTGGAAAGGTATGATTCCTCCCACAGGAAGCTGCAATTTCAGACAGAAATTTCAGCAATGTCAATGTTCATTCATAAGGCTGGTGCTGGGCCCAGTGGCTATGGAGGAGATGATAGGACTGAGCGTGGTCTTCAAGAGACTGAGACCCCTGGGCCTTGAAGGATTTCTATCCTGAAGAATACCTATCTGGGAGGTGATTTCAGGAAGCCCTGGTAAGGGGGTGGGAAAATTCAACAAAGTAGTGATAAAAGCCAACAGCAGGGACCATACGGGACTTTGGTTGGGATATTGTAAGGCAGCCAAACAGGGTAAATGAAGACCCAGCTTGCCACCCCTGTAAGCATGACGGTGGAAATCACAGGCTCTGGATTCAGGCCCCAACCTTGGGCAGGCTCCCTAACATCCCTGACCCTCAGTTTCCCCATGTATAAAATGGGGGCTGGGTTCTACAACTCAGATGGCATCCTTTTGAATAGAGAACCAGCAAGAAGTTAAAAAATCATCAGCATGCTTAGTATACACCAGGAACCTTCTACACATTCTCATTTTACTGTCACACATACATAGGTGCAGTTAGGATCCCCAGTTTACCATTAGAAGAAACGTCCCCAGCATCACCCAACTAATAAGCAGACGCAGGGTTCAAACTTGGGTAAGTCTGATTACAGAGCTTGTGGAAAGTAACTAACAGTGCTTGGGCAAAGTCATTCCTTCCCTGCCTCCATGCTTCATCCACGTCCCCTCAGCTATCTTGCTGGGGAAGGACTAGAATGAGGAAGACAAGCAAAGCCAGGTGCTTAGCAAACCAGCTTTTCATGGGGTCTTAAAAGGAAAAGGCTCTCTGCCAAGCTCTTAATAAGAAGACTTTAGAGCAGATAGATTTTGGCTTCTCCTTCTATTAACACTTAACCTCTTAAAGTTCTTCAAACCCTGTAATTTCCTTCTCTGGAACCTACACAAAAATCTCCACATGACTTTCAAAAAGCCAGTAAGTCAAGAAAACTTAGCATCTTAAAGTTTCAGGTAAAATTAAGTGCCTTAACACGACCAGTACAGGGGATAGAAGAGCACTGGGTTAGGAGACTGTTCTCCAGCCTGGCTCCGGCGTTGACAGACAGACAGCTCAGCCCTAAGCTGGGGGTCCTTGAGCAAAATCACCTGTCCTCTCTGTGCCTCTGTTTTTTTCATTTGTTATTATAGAGATGAAAATTTGTCAATACAGAGATGACAATCCACGTTTTACCTTTTTTCAAGTTGGGGAGAGAAATGTATGTGAAAATGTTTCACCAAGAAGAAAGCATGACGCAAATGCGGGTAATTAATTATCAACATTAATCACCAGCTTATCAGGCTCGCTTGAACAAGAAAAATTAGAGCCAAAAAGCAGAGGTGTGCAAGCTGGAATGAGGAGAGTCAGATGCTAAAGAAAACCCAGCTGTCAGATCCTCATTTTCAGGGCTGGCAGTTAACCTTCAATCAATTTTATAAGGCCAGGAAATAGCCATATTTTTAATTAAGTGCCAGTGGTAGGCGTAGCAACATAAAATTTAATGGTAGGGAAGACATCAACTTAAAGCAACACAGCTTCTTACCTCTCCTTCTAAGAAAGATATCTTTTCTAGAAGCTGCAGTATCAAGAGCTGTTTCTGTTGCACCTTTTTCTTGAGTGATTCAATCTAGAAAGGAAACAGATCGAAAACTGTTAACCAGAAATAGAAAAATGTATAAGTACACATTCCTCCACTGGAGGGATGCCTTCAGTTTTCATTTAAACAGAACCTGTTCATTGATTCTGTTTACTGTTATTTATACTTATACTTAATACTGTTTCAACGGTATTACCATGACGTGCTCCATGAAAGGGAGGTTCTGTGAGCAGATAAGACACCAGGCACAGTTTGGAGTCACGGCTCATTAGATTTCATGAACCCAACATTTCCACACTGATTTTGCTGTGTAGCCCTTAAAAAAACTTCCCACAGACCCTCCAGAGAACATGCATTGGGGAATGCAGACTCAAATCCTCAAAAAACAATTATTCAGCCCCCGTTTCAAACTTTCAGCTCTGTTATTCTCTTAATACATTCATGTTGGTTCAACCAAGTGTTAAAAATTTTGGTTTGGGAAAAGGATCACGGAAAGCGTCATTAAAAATGTTAATGAAATTTGGCATGGAATAAGCAAAAAAGGCTTACTCTGAGCTGGGCTTTTATGTTTGTTCTTATAGTCTACCTTGGGCTACTCTTTGTTTTTAATTCATATATCACATCTCCCTACACAAACCATGAGTTTCCTAAAAAGAGGAACGAGTATACTCTACCAGGCCATGTTTTGGACAATAGCTGGGAAACAGTATGTAGGTTCAATAAATAATGCACTAACTTTCCGACAATCTTGTAGATTAAATTTGAGCATTTACAAAATTGTTTTTTCAAAAACTCTCTCAGTTGCTTGGTGCCTGTAGCTCAGTGAGTAGGGTGCCAGCCACCTACACTGAAGCTGACGGGTTCGAGCCCAGCCCAGGCCTTCTAAACAACAATGACAACTGCAACAACAGAAACAAAAAATAGCCGCACGCTATTTGTGGCAGGTGCCTGTAGTCCCAGCTACTTGGGAGGCTGAGGCAAGAGAATGGCTTAAGCCCAAGAGTTGGAGTTTGCTGTGAGCTGTGATGCCAACAGCAGGGACCATACGGGACTTTGGTTGG